TTTCCTGTTCAACAAATGCTCATTAATGAATGTTGTGCTGTTGAAGAACAATTAGAAAAAGGCAAAGAAGCACCAGGTCTTACAACTTTAAGTTGTAATTGTTTATTTTTTCACTGGTACTTATTACCTTGCCACCATATATTTCATGAAAGTATGTATAGTTTTACAAAACTTTTAACATCTGATTTGTAGGAGAAGTTTCAGCAGATGTTTGATGAGGTTGGATTTGACATATATATACATTGTGAATTGGTTGATTTGGAGGTATCTAGGATGACCGAAGCTGAGAAGGAAATGGAAAATCGACGGCTAGCTGTAAATGAATTAATGGAAAGAATGCGTGATGTATATTGGAGGGTTGAAAAAAGAGATGATATAAAACAAACTGATGCATTTATCAATGAATTAAAAGATCGTTTGAGACCAATTTTAAATAAAAAAAATTAATAAATTTATTATTATTATATATATTAATTATTTTTTGATTACGTAAAAAACTGTTTTATAATAATAAAATATTCGTATCATTAGCTCATTATGGTAGCTTAGAAGAAATAAACTATGCGCATTATGCAATATTTTATTTATTGTTATTCACGTGATTTTCTCGATCTTCTGACATGCTCCGCCAATTGATTAATCACGTGATTGAACACAGCTTTAACCCACTCACATATTAGGAATGTGAAAAGCAACAGTTTTTTCTGCGTCATCTCGTGTAGTAAATCCAATTTTGATAATTTTCTTTGTTGGGTTGGTGAGGGAATTTCTAACAGATGTACCAATGAATGAAGGGTATTCAGTTCCACAAAACAAATCACAGGCAGTATTTGTTTTTTCTTTATTGGATTTGCCAGAGAGAAAGATATCTGCAGTGCAGTAAACAAAGAAAATTAGAGAGTCTTGTTCTCTTTCAAAACGTGTAATATTCTTTTCAGTGTTGTTTGAAAGCATATTTTCTGAAGCGTCGAAAGCTTGGTCATTGTCATACACTTTATTTTCAGGTTGTAGAGAGGTTTCCAATGCTTTACCCTTGTTAACAGTAGAAGAAGTTGGATCAATATCTATAGTTTCTTCAGTTGTAATTTTATTTTCATGAGTAAACGTTGACTGAACTGGTGTTTGTTGTTGAAGTTCTTTTTCATGCTATGCAAGTTGAATTCTTTTTGCTGGTGGTGGTGGGGTTCTATTATTAACTGGTGAACTAGAACGGTTACGGTTTGGGTTTCTTCGCAAAATAATTTTTTTATCATTTTTCAGAAATTTTGCGAAAATGGGGAAAGAGTTTTTTTCCAAAAAAATGAATAATTGAATTAGTGATTTATTTTAAAAAAAATTTTTCTCAATAGACGAACCTTCAAATAATCCAAATATAGAAAATCCAGTAAATCAAGAAGGTAAATTAATTGTATTTTTTTGATTTTTTAAATAAAAACAAAAAATAATTCTTTTTTTACAGGACTTACCTTCGAAAGATCAGGTATTGAAGATCCGATATCTATAAGAAAAGTAAGTTATTTTTATTTAATGATTATTTTTTTTAAAAAATTTTTTAATTAACATATCTTATTTATTAAAGTTGGTCAGTGATGTGATTTTATAAGAAAACGATTGCTAGATTTTAGAATATTACTGACTCGTCAGTTTTATTATATTACAAGAATAATAAATTAAGTTAAAATTAGTTAATCATAATAAGTTGTGAATCACAGAGTAAAATTAAATTAAAAAATTGGCCAATAAAAATAAATCATGTGACTTGAGCTGTACTAAATACGAATTTATATTAATATCTATACTATAGTACTGTATCGTACTAATACAGTACAAGTACAATTCCCAACCCTGGTTATTAGTATGCAAATTTGTCACATTAATAATGCGTTTATTTAATTTCAGACGTTTTTTACGTTACGTAACGAAAAGATGAGGGGTTTAAAAAAAACTCGGGTAATACGATTCACAATAAGAGTAATCATCATAAGTAAGAGAAGGCATAATAAATAAGGGAAGGAAAAGAAGGATAGATTTTAGAAAGGAACAACTCCATAAAATTGGGACGCGAACTGTTGTATTGATTTTTTTGGTTGGTGGCAGAAAAACGTTGCAGTCGAAACATATGGCAATAACTATTATAAATTTATAGTTTCGGGATTTCTATTCGATTGAACTGAAAAAAGAGATTATATTTGAGGAAGCTATAATAATAACGTTTTTGCCTTTTAAATTACGATTTTGATCTATTCGCAAGCTTTTTCAGAGTGAAGTATTTTCTCTACGTAATTGGAAAGCCGATTTACCAATTAATTCATGAAAAGTTTTGGTATTATTTCAGGATCGTGTCTAGATAGGCTTGAATTAGTTAATGAATCGGAATAAATGAGTTATCATAAGTAGAACACAAACCTTCCATGATAACACTTTACAAACTGCTTCAACGCATTTTGAGAAAGCATCAACAGTTCGTGGAATTATAATATTTGTTAAACCAAGCATGCATATTGTGTTTTCGAACATATAGGATGCTACAAATAGTGATAACGAAAATTCTGAAGGAATATTAGTTCACATTCAACTAAATTATGAAGTTAAATGAAAAATCGTTTACCATTCGTTTGTATTGCATATATTTCAAACCTATGAATATCCAGATATGCCACGCTTGGTAAGGCAGATATGCGCTGACGAGTAACACCTTTGAGCAATATTCTAGCTTTGATAAGTCATTCTTTCTTTTACTCGCAATATCATATCTCCCGTTCTCCCATATTAATACTTCTTGATTTATTGAAATAATAGTCACTTTTGAGTCCATTTTAGGACCACTATTTGTTTGAATTTGGGCAAGTTTTTTTAACTTGTCATACGCTACAGATGAAACTTTACCGCTGAATTATGCGATGTAAATTAATCATCACAGAAAATATATAATAATAACAGTAGGTCTAACGTTTAAACATACCTAGAAATTCAAATATCCACTTTCTCCATAAAGGCGTTGTTAGTGATAGTCTAGTTATGACGCATTAGTACTGCGCCAATTACAATTAGCGAATGATGATCCCGTCGAT